AAAAGAAAATCAAAGCACCTCCAAATCAACAATGTCAGAGATGAAAGGGGAAACATGACAACAGACATCAAAAAGAACCAGAATATTATAACAGAATACTTTTAAAACCTATACACTACCAAATTTGAAAACCTAAAAGAAATGGACAGATATCTAAAAGCATGGGAACCACCAAAACTAAATCACGAAGAGATTAACATCTTAAACAGACCCATAACACAGAAGGAAATTGAAAGAGTAATACAAAACCTCCTGAATGAAAAAAGCCCAGGAACATATGGATTTACAGCACAGTTCTACCAGACATTTAAAGAGGGTCTACATCCAATACTACTTAATTTATTCAAAAAGATAGAAATGGAGGGAGAGCTTCCAAATGCCTTCTACAAAACTAGCATCTCTCAAATACCAAAGCCAGGTAAAGATACAACCAAAAAAGAACACTACAGACCCATATCCTTAATGAACATAGATGCAAAAATTCTCAACAAGATACTTGCAAACCACATACAAGCACACATCAAAAAGATCATCCACCATGATCAAGTTGGCTTTATCCAGAGATGCAGGGATGGTTCAATATATGTAAGTCAATAAATGTCATAAATCATATAAATGGACTCAAAGACAAGAACCACATGGTCATCTCAGTAGATGCAGAGAAGGTCTTTGACAGAATTCAACATGAATTTATGTTCAAAATATTAGAGGGAATGGGACTGGAGAAAACATACCTCAACATAATTAAAGCTATGTACAACAAACCCACAGCCAACATCATTCTAAATGGAGAAAAACTGGAAGAATTCCCATGAAAATGAGCAACCAGAAAAGGCTGTCCACTATCTTCACTCCTTTTTAACATAGTGCTGGAAACTCTTGCAAGAGCAATAAAACAAGAGAAGGAAATTAAAGGAGTAATAATTGGAAAAGAAGAGAGCAAATTATCCTTATTTGCAGACCACATGTTATTATAGCTGAGACACCAAAAATTCCACCAGAAAACTCCTAGAAAAGAATAACACTTTTAGTAAAGTGGTAGGTTGCAAAATCAATCTACAAAAGTCTGTTGCATTTCTATATGCCAATAACAAGCAATCAGAGAAAGAGTACATGGAAACACTCCCCTTCACAATAGCTGCAAAAAAGGTAAAATATCACAGAATAAACCTGACCAAACATATTAAAGACCTCTACAATGAAACTTTTAAATCTTTAGAGAAAGAGGTTGAGGAAGATGTCATAATATGGAAGGATCTCCCATGCTCATGGATTGGAAGAATTAATATTGTGAAAATGACAATTCTACCAAAAGCCATGTACAGATTCAAAGCAATGCCAATCAAAATCCCAATGACATCCTTTACAGAATTGGAGAAAAACATCCTAAGATTCATATGGAAACACAAAAGACCTTGGATAGCCAAGGCAACCATGAGCACTAAGAACAATACTGGGGGGATTTCTATACCAGATTTTAAACTATTACAGAACTATATTCATAAAAGTAGCATCATGCTGGCATGAAAATCAACCCATATGTAGATCAATGGAACAAAATTGAAGACCAAAATATGAGTACACGCAATTTCTGCCACCTGATATTCGACAAAGGGGCCAAGAACATTAACTGGAGGAAAGACAGCATGTTCAGCAAATGGTTCGGGCAAAACTGGATCTCCACCTGTGGAAGAATGAAATTAAACCCCTATCTTTCACCTCGCACAAAAGTCAACTTCAAATGTATCAAAGACTTGATGTGAAGACTGAAACTCTGAAACCGTTAGAAGAAAACATTGGCAGCAACCTACAAGATATGGGAGTAGGAAAGGATTTTCTAAACCAGACATCAATTGCTCAGGAAACAAGGTCAAGAATCAACAAATGGAGCCACATTAAACTAAAAGCTTCTGTACATCAAAAGAAGCATCCAAGGAAGTGAAGAGAAAACCCACAGAATGGGAGAAAATCTTCACCAGCAACACGTCTGACAGAGGTTTAACTTCCAGGATATATAATGAACTCAAAAAAGCAAAGAACCAAGAAAAGAAATAACCCAATTAAAAGAGGGGCTTAAGAGCAGAATGGAGAGTTCCCAAAAGAAGATAGCTAAGAAGCATCTTAAAAGATGTTCAACATCGTTAGTAATTAGAGAAATATGAACTGAAAACACTTTAAGATTGCATCTTACCCCATTCATACTGCCTAAGATCAAGGGACCAAATGATACCAAATGTTGGAAAGGATGTGGGGAAAGGGGAACACTCATCCACTGCTGGTAGGATTGCGAGCTTGTTCAACCTCTATGGAAAGCAGTGTGGAGAACTCTTAAAAAACTATAAATGAACCTTCCATTTGACCCAGTTATACCTCTCCTTGGCGTATACCCAAAGAACTCATCCTATTGCAGAGACACTTGTACATCCATGTTTGTTGCTTTTCTTTTCACAATAGCTAAGAGATGGAAGCAACCTAAGTGTCCCTCAACTGACAAGTGGATAATGAAAATGTGGATCATACAATGGAATTTTCTACCATGAGGGCAAAATGTTCCCATCTATGAAGAAGGGGTAAACACTTTAAACCAAGTTTCCTGGTTCCTTAATCTTAGATTTTCTAACTTCCAATACTGTGAACACTACATTTATTTGGTAAAAAAGTACTTAGTCTAAGAAAATTTGTTAAACCAGCTGGCACATATTAAGACTCAAAACTCATAAATAGAATAAAAATACAAAATATGATGAAAATGAATAATTTAAAGATAATCTTAACCACGAATATAAACACAAATATACTAAACAATATATTAGAAATACATCTACACACTGACAAATTAGAGTCAAATTTCTTCTATCTTCAGATACACCAAATGCAAGGATGGTTTAATATTCTAGAAACCAAAAGCCTACATATGTCTTTTATTATTAATTCCACTGAAAAATTAATTAATGAAATGTAAGAAAAGACTGAGAATTAAATTGTCCCTGTGTCATAAAGACTACTGAAACTACTTTGTGTGTGTGAAAGAGAGGGGGAGAGAGAGAGAGAGAGAGAGAGAGAGAGAGAGAGAGAGAGAAAGAGAGAGAATATGTCTAGCTGTATAGCTAATGGCTGCATAACAAAAATCACAGTGCCAGGAAAGGAAAATTACCTTTGAATTGTTGGTAAGTATCCTCCAAAAGACTACCAAAGCAAGAGATGTTATTGCCACAGTTCTTGATTGCCTTCCAGGACTTAATGGTAAGACCCAATTGCTGAAATCATGACATATTTCAGACACAGGAATTGGAGCTATTCAGCTGGAATTGACTTGGAAGCCTTCTCACTGATCTTATAGTATCAGAAGATACTGTGCAATCTGCCAAGGAAGAAAATCAATCAATGATCCCCAACAGCTGAAAAGTGTACAAATCACAACAATGTCTGGTTCAGCAAATTATCTCTATTGGTCCATTAATGGAACTTTTACCTTGGGGTTAATCAATAGCTGTCTAGTTGCACTTAATGTTCACTCAATAGGAATGAATTTAGTCATGGTCCTGTACCATAGCGAAGTACACATGGTTGGAGAGGTCATAGACCCTAGAGAAAAACTTACTTCTGTCACTTTCCTAGACAAATATAATTTGTTGTCACTTTCTTAGACCAATATAATATAATATAATAATATTTGAAGTATACATTCTTATGTTTGCATACAAGTGTACCTCTCACCACTCATCTAAGAAACTGCTTTTCACAGCAGATGGAGACTATTACAAAGCTTTAAAACTGGAAATAAGTTACTAGAAGTTTTCCAGAACTACGTGATACAGCGAAATGCAAACTCTACACATAAGGCGCAGGAAATATCACAGAAGAAAAGACAGAAAGAGTGTAAGAGCAGAGAGACAAGACACCTGTTCCTACTAAATGCATTCTAGATATGATAGGGAAGTTACAATAATGAGATCTTTGAAGTATGATAGTCAAAAAATGTCTGAATAAGGACAAAATCAGTTGACATGCCAAGGTGGATGTGGGATTTTTCATGAGATCCCAACTCTTGATGAAGACTTACAGGCAATCAATGGAAACTGAGGGGGAGATAAACAGTTTTCTCCAGAGACTTGATCTCTGAGAGGTTGTCTTATTGCAAGTGGGTAGCCATAAATACAGGTACACACAAGCACCTCTAATTGACGTGTGTGTGTGTGTGTGTGTGTGTGTGTATGTAACAATAATAAAATAGAGGACAAGAAATCGAGAGGTACTGGGGGCATAGGAGGAGTTGTAGGAGGTCTGGGATTGGTAGAAATAATGTAAGTATAATACTCATTTGTGGAACTCTCAAAAAGATAACATGAAATTTATAAAACAGAAATTCCTGAACTTAATAAATATTGACTTCAAGATATGATTAAGAACTATACATGGATGAGTGACTCTTGAAATATTTTCATTAAAGTCAAGAATAAGCAAATAATTCATAGTATAATTAATATTATTTTCATTCAATATTATATGAGGATATCTGACTTACACAATCAAAAAAGATAAAAAATAATATAAGGAAAAATTAAATGTGGAGCATTTGAATATTGTAAGCTTATCTCCATATGGATCCCAAACAAAATTTATTATACTCTTTTAAAACTAAATATTGTTGTATATATGATCAATGTACAAATTGTACATTCATATATTCAGGAAATAACTGCAAAACAAAATAAAATTTTCAGTACTATTTACAATAGACAATGTATACAAATATTTAAAAATATAACTATTGTAAAAAGACTGGTATAAAAAAATTTAAAAAATTAAAAGAGGATGTAAATGGCTAGAGAAATGTAAATATTCATGTATTAGGTTTATGGGGGGAAATTGATATTATAACAATTATATTTTCCTACAACTTAATCCATATATCCAACAAATTTTTCATAATCCAAGAGTATTTTTTTACATGAAACACATATTTACTGAGCTTCTCCTAAGTGTCAGACACTATTCTAAGTGCAAACAAAACAAACTTCCCTCTTCTAAAGCTCACATAACATACTCATTATTAACCATAAAGGACAAAGTGTAAACGAGTGTATACCATATGCCATCATTTGAATTTTTATGGGGGATTTAATTTCACAAGAATAGTCTGTATTTAAAAGGATTTACAAAAATACTACAATGGTTCCTTTGGAAAATGGGACAAATTTAGTACCTTGATGAAGGGAAATTTACTGTTTATTGTCATTCTAATTTGTGATATTTGAATGAGTTTATTCTACATTTTCACACAATTTTAAGCTATAAAACTGTTCCAGAATAAAAGTGCAGTGATGTGAGCAAAACAAAAATCTTATTTTTAAGTTAAAAATATTACTGTATATGTTCAGAATGAAAGAAAAACTTACTTAAACAGAAAACTACATGAAAAATATTTGCTTATTGCTGTTAACTAGCTGCTAAATAGGCTAAAGCATCTCTGGTAAATATAATAGAAGTGTATTCTCTAGATCAAGAGAACTGATAGTTCCAATTTTCAGTGTATGAACTCAGTCATCCCAGGATGGATTATGATTATGTAATAAATTAGGAGAGCACCACTCAAGGAAGAAGATCCAAGAGAAAGACAAACTAATAAATTAACTGAGAAATCTTTGTTTCTATTCGTTTGTTTGTTTGTTTATGAAACAAATTCTTATGCATCCCAAACTCATTATGTAGCTGAGAATGACCTCACACTACTGATTTTCCTGCCTCTATTTCTCAGAGTATTGGGATTACAGACATCTGAGTTGGGCCTGATTCTTCTCTTTTTTTCAAGGATTAGTTTCTAAAAGGAAGACAAAGAAAATGAGAAAATTATCTTCTCATATATGAAGAAAACAGAGCTATACTTATTTGTTCAAGTAGCACTACCAGGACCTCTATAATTAGGAACTGATGGTAATAGGCTCTGTAAGAATGCTCGAACAGCCTTTTTGTAAGGGGAAAGCAGACTGGGAGAAAAAAGAGAACATTTATGGTCTACCTTCATGCTAGACTCATTGTGCACATAATATTAATCCTTACAGTCATCCCATTTTCCAGAGGAGAAAATGGAGACTCAGTAATGACTAACTTCACCTAAGGCCGACTCTAATACATTCCTTTCTTTCTTCCTTCCTTCTTTCTGTCTCCATTCCTTCTTTTCATTTTCTCCTCTTCCTCCTTTTCCTTTTTCAACTTGCCATCTACCTTCTTCTTTTTCTTCTATAGTTCTGGAGATCAAATCTGGGGTCCTGTGGATGATAAACACACTGAATTCCATCATGAGCTAGGGCAAATATTTAAATACAATTTGCAACAATGTACTTATTTGGCTCCACACATTCTCTTTTGCCCCTCTGATTATGATGATGATGATAATGATGATGATGATGATGATGATGATGATATTAAATGTGATTAAAATGTTTGTTCTAAAGCATAGATCTGATCATCTTACCTTCCTTTCCTGCTTGAATGTCTTTGCTCAGCTTACCAAGTCTTTCATGATCTGGCTCTAGTTTAAATTTATAGTCACTCAGAACTACATTGTGTCCATAGAAACTAGTTTTAATGTTTTACTTCTCATTATTTTAATTTTAGGTGTATGAGTGTATTGCCTCCATGAATGTAAGTGCATCTGTGTTGTGCTGTGCCCTTGAAGGTCAGAAGAGGGTATCAGATCCCACTGGAACTGGAGTTATGGACAGTTGTTAGCCACCATGTGGGTGCTGGGAACTGATCCCCGGTCCTCTACAAGAAGAGCCTATGCTCTTAATTGCTGACTCTTCAGTCCTCACAGAGACTATTTTTAATAACACAAATATAGACAAAAATAAGAAACTTCCATTCTCTATTCTCTGTATGTGACTCTCCTCCATTATCAGAATCTATCCCAATACATTTTCTTTGAACTATTTTTGTAATTCTTTGTAAATCATAGGTAATAAGACACGTAAATTCTACCTTGTCCAGCAGTGATTTAATTGATTCTCCCTAAATCCTTGCCAAGTCCCACCCCACATTTTGTCTATTTGTACTTTATTTCAGTAGTCCTTCATTCCATATAAATCTCTGTTGTTTTGGCTTTTCTTTTAAAACAGTTCTACATCTTCTGATTTGTTCATCTAATATGACTGGAATAAATTCTTCTATATATATTTACTTTTATGGTTCCTTTATGGTTACAACTTAAAATTTTTGAAAATTGTATTTTAACATATGCTATATTCTCCTCTTTGTCACATATTTCATATTTCTAAGCCTTCATATAGTCTGTTTCCTCTGACTTAAAACAGCTTTATAATGCCATTTTGCCTGTCCATTAAATCATTCTTTAATGAGAGGGAAAAGAACATTATCAGGAAGAAATCATCTATGCCAGGTCTGTGATATACCAAAAGGCATGACTTTTCCAAGAAGCAGCTGCCTGTGACATTTTCTACCACTCTGAAACAAAATGGTCTATTTCAAAGAAATGAACTTTATGCCAGTGGATAAATTCAAGTAGTACCTGGCTTTCTACTCATTAAGGGTGCCATATGATGAGTGTCTAGCAATAAGAGTGTTACAGGGAGAAATAGTTTTTTTGCAGTATAATATAACCACATTTATTAACAATGCATTCCAATATCATGTGACAAATTTCAACAGTGTAAAACCACCGCTACTTTTGCACCAATTTAATTCTAGTTTTTTCCTCACGACTTCTGCTAAAAAATATTTAATTTACTAATAATATAGTCCTTCTAGAACCCTTCCTGGAAGATTTGATGGTTACATTTTTATAAAGAACTTGAGGTCAAACCCAGAAAGGGCAGTAGAATCCTGACCAGAATCTGGCTCTGTCTCTGCCCTTTGTATTACTTAGGGTTTTTTAAAAATATGTATTTTTTATTGAATTTTTGTGCATTTCATACAAAACATCTTGGGATGGATTAAAGGTAGAAATATTTTGACCCTTGTTGAAATGGCAATGAATAATATTTATGATGGACTGGTGCTGTATCTCAGATGATAGCGTTCTTGTCTAGCATGCAAAAAGCTCTAAGTTCAATCTCTAGCACTGTATAAACTGGGAATAGTGGTATATAACTGTTACTCTTGCCTCAAGAGGTAAAGGCAGGGAGATCAGGATCAGGATCAAGGTGATCCTCAGATACATAGCGAATTTGAGGCCTTCCATAGTAACATAATATCATCTCAAAAATGTGAAATAGTATTCAAGACTGGTATAAAGGTAGCCAGGAATGGTTATAATGCTGAATAATGCAAAAGTAAATGAATATTTACTGAGGAAAACAGCATGGGTGGATATTGGTGGATGGAAAATTACTAAAAGGAAACTTCAGAGATAGGAAGATTCTTATTAAAGTCACTCAATAAATAGGATCCTTGATAAAGGCAGGCCAAGGATTTAGATATCAAGCATAAAGGACAAGGAAAATTTGATCAGATATCAAAGCTAGGGAGATAACAGGATTCTTTGTAAAGACTGGGTTTCAAAGTCCAAACACAGGACAGACACTAAGGTTGTGTATTGCTTAGTCAGAGGAATTTCATTAAAATTTTGTCCAGAATAACGTTTTTGCCAAGAGATAGCTTGGAATTAGCAATCCATATAGTTTGTTCCAGCTCTAAGGTGATTGAAATGTGATGTATTAATGCCAAGTTCACATTCTATGAACACTGAGACAAAGGGAGCCTGGAATAATGCAAACCATATCCTTGAAAGTCTCCCACAGGTTTGTGATAGCAACCAATTTTGTCTTTCTGGTTTGGACATATTAACTTCCAAGTGAAATCCAGGAACCAAAGCACAAAGATGGATGTGAATTCTAGGGCTTCCTTGATGGACTCCTATTGTGAATTTCTTAGTGAACAGCCCCATGTAGTTTTAACTGAAGCTGCTTCTTTCCATTTGTTTGGGCAAGTCACATCAGTGATTTGCTAAAGAAGGAAGGGAAATGAGCTCAATGAAATGGAGCAAACAGCTTGCAATAGATCCATCTTTTTCCAGACATGTACTTCTTTGACTTCTGTCTGAGAAGGTGCCAGAGCTAACACTTAGGGCAAAAAACTCAGACAGCCTAGACATTTGACAGGTACAACTAAGTAGGATGATGCATTTCTTAAGCATAGAGTCTCATGCCTCTCTTCCTTGCACCTCGGGAGGCAGAGCCAAATCCATCACAAAAAAAGAGTGACAGAATTGTCATTAAAATCCTAAAAATGGCTCAAAACTTTCATACCTCCCTATTCTACTCCAAGTTTAGAGCAATTCCAACATCGGAGTCACCCCTTTACACTGAAGCGTTAAAACCAGATTACATCTAAAATAGTGCATGGGAGGAGGTAACTCATTAGCCTTCATGAACAAGCTACATATCTTTGATTAAAGTGCTTTCCATCTGTGCCTTTCACAGTCACAAAAAGTAAGAGGCTTAGACTAAAGTAATTGAGCTCTTGTTTTATATATCTCTGTATTTTCTGCCCAGAAAGGTATTCTTCATCAACTACTAAGTGCTACCTAATTAATAAGATTCAGAACAATTTGCAGTGGAAGCCAATGAGAAGGAGAAACTACCAAGACAGTTGTCACTGTATAGGTTCAAGCCTGCCTGGTAAGGGCACTTTAATCAGGAGTTTTATGTGACTACAGGACATTGTGAGCTGGAAAATCAGATGACAAGCAGTTTATGGAGTGTATTAGCATCATAGTATATTAAACGACAACCTATTTATTTCATGGATTTTCTTTTTTAATATTTTATTATTTTTATGTGTACAAGTGTATTGCATTCATCTATGTGAGTGCACCCATGTAGTGCAATGCCCTAGAGGTCAGAAGAGGGCTTTGGATTCCCCTGGAACTGGAGTTAAGGACGGTTTGTAGCTGCCATGTAGGTTCTGGGAATCAAACTCAGGTCCTCTGCAAGAGCAGTCAGTGCTCTTAACCACTTAGTCATCTCTCCAGTCCCATATTTCATGTTTCTCAAAAATATTTTATTATTTTTATTTTGTGTGTATGTGTATATTGCCTGCATGTAGGTAAGTGTACCCGTGTTGTGCAATGCCTGTGGAGAACAGAAGAGACTGTCAGATTCCCTGGAACTGGAATTACAGACAGTTGTTAGTTGCCATGTGGGTGCTGGGATTCGAACGCACATCTCCTTCAAGAGCAGTCACTGTTCTTAACAGCTGAGCCGTCTCTCTAGAATCTTATTTAATAATTTTTGTATTTCTAAGACTTCTTTTTCCAAATTCACACTTATATATGTACACATTCTCTCTTATTTATAATAAACTATAATTTTAATTTAAGTAATCATCTGGCATTGGTAGTTGTCCAGCTAGCAAAAGTTATCACAGCAATACTTTCAGATTTATATACAGAGTAATAAGCTTAGAGATTAAAATAAAGGTTTGATGTGTGTATCCGTGTGCTTGTTCATGTGGGTGCATATGTGCATGTGTATACAGGTGCATATGTACATGAGTGTGTATTCAGGTGGAGAACAGAGGACAATTTTTGGTGTTTTTCCTCAAGTGTCATGCAAAGTCTCTCACTGACCTAGAGCTCAGCAAGTAGGCTAGACTGGCTGGCCAGCAAGTTCAAGAAATCACTTGTCTCCAGCTTTTTGACATACATTATTGGACTAGAATTCAGGTCTTTCCCTTTGAACAATGAGCAGTTTGCTGGGTAAGCCATAGTCCAAGCCACAAGAAAGGTGTTTTCATTGCTTTCTTTTGTTTGATAAAGAGACTCTTTATAGGTTATCAGAATAATGTGGCTCAGAGTAAGAAAGCACAAGTCGATTTACCTTAAACTCAGTTCACACCAGGCCTGGTAGTACACACCCTTAATACCAGCACTCAGGAGGCAGAGGCGGGAAGAGCTCTGTGAGACTGACGCCACGTTGTTCCACACAGCATTTGCAAGCCAGACAGATTGATCCTGTCTCAAAAACAAACTACAGTAAAATTATTTCATGTTAGATCAATTTAATTTTGCCCAGGGATACATATTTCAGATCTCTAATAAAGAAGAAGGCAACAGTTGATAGTTTAAGGAAGTTTCCAAATTGTCCCCCAGAGTTCAGATGGTGAAAGGACTTGGATTAATTAGACTCTTGTGGTGGCCTGTGGTTGAAGTTGCTTTCTATTTATCATTGTATCTCATGTTCACAAAGTTCAGTAATATGTTTTTTAGAATACTTATAACTTGACAACATAAATCTTGTGGATCAGGGCTGGTGAGAAGGCTTGGTGGTTAAGAGTATGTCTGCTCTTCCAGAGGACCAGGGTTCAATTTCCAGCAGATATCAGGTAACTCAGAATCACCTATAATTCCAGATTCACAGGATCCTATTCTTTCCTCCATGGACACCACATGAATTTGCACATATTCACACACAGACACACATACATACAAGTAAATAAAAACACATTTTTTGGTCTTTTTGAGACAGGGTATCCCTGTAGCCCCAGATGTCCTGGAACTCACTATGTGGACCAGGCTGGCCTTGAACTCACAGAGATGTGCCTGCCTCTGCTTCCCAAGTGCTGGTATTAAAGTTGTGCACCACCACGCCCGGCTAAAAAATACCATAATTTTTAAACCTCTTGGATCAAAGTGCACTTGTTTTTCTCTTAATCATTTGGATATTGTTTTTAACTAAAGGAATACATTTTCTTTAAAGTGAAGACACTCCTTCATCCTGGCTTGTCATCTTCGGGTATTTGAGACTATGGACTGGGGATTGTGACTGAAAATATTTTAGATGTGCAGTGCTGATTGATACAAATAAATGCTCAATTCTAACAAAACAACAGCATGCAATACTGAAAGACATTAGAAGTACCCTGATATAAAACATGGTTGGATCTAGATCCAGTTTCTTCATTCTAAATATCATAAGGTTGTGAATATGAAAAACCAAAGGATACTGTAAAACTACCAAGGGAGAAAACCTATAAATGGTCATATCCAGCTGTAAAGCCTACTAAACAACAAAGACTGGTCTAGCAAACTATTTCTATTTGTACAGTAGTGACACTTTAATCCTGGGAGTAATCAACAGCTATCTAATTGGAATTAAGGGCTGTTCAATGAAAGGAAACTCATGCGTGTTTCTGCAAGTATGGCCAAATACACGTGGCTGGAGACAACATAGATATTACAGAAAAAAACAATTTTTGCTATGTGGCTAGACCAATTTATTTTCTTCCATTATTCTAAATATGCACCCTGATATTTACAGAAACATGTACCTTTCAGTCTTCATCAAAGACACTTCTTTTGGCAACAGATGGAGACTATTATAGAGTTACAGAAGTGGTCAAACAGAAAATAAGTGACTGTGAGTTGCTTGACCCTAAGTGACACATTTCTAAGGAAATCTTTACACATAGGATTAATGCATCTCTTGACACTTACCAGAGAAGTTACCTTCTCTGGTGATTAACACAGAAACTTGTAATTGGCCAATGTGCAGAGAACAAGAGACCATACAGTGCTTGTCCCTCAATAGGACACCTTTTTCAAAGACCTACCTCCCAAGGCTCAATGATCATTGCAGAAGAGGAGGCAGGAAGATTGTAAGAGCCAGAGGGGTAGATGACTACAAGGAAATAGTGTCTTCTAGACAGCTGGTCAGTTAAACAAATGAACTCATAGCAATGCTGACAGCATGCACAAGTCCCATGAAAGCTCAACCTAGACAAAATCCCAGCATAGACATGAAGCAGTGAGTAATATATCCCAACCCAACTTAAGGAACTTTTGGTGATGACCACTGGGAGGAAGAAAGACAGTGTCATACAGGGATGGGACTCTTGGTGGGCTCAGTGGATGTATCAATACTGAAGGACATTTGAGGACATGAATCAGACTCTCTATGTCATATTATATATATTTGAATTGGATGGAGGTGCATTCGGGAGGAGGTACATATAGGGGAGAGGATCTGAATGCGACCAAACTATATTGTATAAAAATCATAAAAATTCAATGAAAAATAAAATTTCATTAAAAAAATCCTCTTAGAAATCCAGTTTTGAAATGTCTGATTTTAAGTGTTATCTCTTACAGGATATAAACAAGGTCCATATCAAAAACAAAGTATATCTTTTGTCTTTATATACCTGACCACTGAAGAAACGGTGAAGAGAAAGAGAATGAAAGAAAAAGAAAGAGTGAGTACAGAGGAAGGGACAAGGACAAGAAATGACAGAAGGATTTTGATGTTTGCCAAAGCCTGAGAAGGAGAGATTTAAAACACCATTGTTTTTTAATAATATAACATTTAAATTATTTATTTCATACACTATATTTTAATTATATTCCCCCACCTTCCTACTCACCCAAGTTCCTGTCCTCGTTTTTTTTTCTTTTTGGTTATCCTTTCTTTTTGGGTGTTTAAGGCCATACAGCTGGTCCAGATAAACCGATTTATTTTTACTCTTAAGGTCATTTGAGGATCTGTTCCTCAGGGGTCACGTGGGCTTGGGAGGAGCCCCTGGTTCCTTTCTTTTATCAGCTCAACCTATGTGAAGATAAGTCAAAGGTCCTGCTCGACCATGGTTAGCTTCATTTTTAAAAGAAGTGCAATACTTTACATTTTAACAGTAGGTAAAAATGGACAGAATTTAATTTCTATATATAAAGTACATCGATACAGACATTCCTTATATACTTCCTTTTTGTACTTAAAGAATATGTCTAAATGTTGCTGTGTAGTTTACCTTTTTAGTCTTTTGAGAATTAAATTAGCTCATATGTGTAAAGTGCTTACAGTAGTTTTAAGCACTTAAAACTCAATGCACGGATGTTGTTATTATTGTCACCATAATATCTTTGCCAACATAGACTTACAGGGTATTATCATTTATTTTTAATATGCATTGACAAAAAACTTTAAATGTCATTAATTTGCTCTCAGTTACACACCTAAATAAGATCATTTGACCTGTGAACTAAAAGATAAACTTTAAGTTTACTCTGATACCCCTGGGAACTAAATGTCCCTCATCTCTAATAAAATCTAAATACCTTGACAAACAGTTGCATTTTTTTTATGACTCTAAGTGTCTTTTGCCAAGTAAATATAACAATGTACCAGATTGCTTAGTGTTATTTCTTCTGAGAGAGCCGTGTACCAAGGACAAATAAAATTTGCGTCCTTCTTCATGTGGATATTCTAGACTCTGACCATACAAGACAATAATTCATTTTTTCCTTATAAACATGTAAAGTGGTACTATCCTCAAACATTGTGGTTTATACACTGGATATGTACAACATCCCTATTCATCTGCTCTTCAACTGACCCTGCCAAAAGAGTTGACTCTAGTCCTACACAATTACAATGTCAGATATTGACAACCATGCACAAGACTGAAAGAAAATGAACAAGTACACAGCTTTATTTATGTTTTCTAATTTTTAAGCCTAAACATAGGTCTTTGTGACTATATTAAAGAAAGGTCACATGGGTAAAATAGATTCTTCCTCTTGTGAGAATAGTAAAATGATAGGCCTCTCTATTTTCCCAACACTGTCACTGGGTGAATAGAACTAATTATGTATTATCCAAGGGGTAAGCATTTGAAATCAGGAATTTGGGTACTGTAGTCATGCATTAGCCAAGGTTGCAGGAAGAAAAAGAAATAAGATGCATGGGTGTATAAGTGTATCTGTGTGAGTGTGTTTGCTCATTTATCTCATACAGTTCTGGAAGCTGAGATGTTCAGACAGAAAAAAGTCTAATGGTATAGTTCAGGTCCAATCTGTAAGTCTGAAAACCAGGAAAATCAATGATATACATTAGAGTCTGAGCATGAGTTCAAAGATAGAAGGCTGACATTCTATCTCAAAGACAGTCAGTCAGAGAAAAAGAATCATTTTTTCTTACACATAATTTAATTCAGTTCAGTCTAATAGATTGGATGAAGGCTGTCTACATTAAGGAGGGCCATATATTTTAGTAGGCTTGCCAGTTCAACTATTAATCTCATTCAGAATGCTAAATGTTGGTCAAAATGGATGGCCATATTAAAGAGTAATCTGTACACTTGTTCACACTCTGGCCTTCATTCTTGTCCACCAACATCTTTATTCACTAGCATCAATATAACCCAAAGTTTGTTATCTCTTAGCACATCCTATTTGCCCTATCAAGTGTCAGTAATAGGATTATTTAATGGTAACAGTGTAAGAATCTGAGACAGTTTCCTGAACTCATTAACTTTACTCGCTGGCTGAGCTTCCTTCAAAAATGTTGAATACTCCACTTTCACTTTTCTCATCTACCACTTGATAATGCTGGGGTCTGGCAAACACCTTAATGACAAACATCAATTCAGTCTAGAAAGGAGGTTCTTAAAACTTATAAAAGAGGCCCCTGCTGGCAGTATTAGAAATGAAACCACCACAAGACAGTTACACATATATAGAAGATAAACTTGATAAAATGCACCGAAGTCTTTTAATTCTGTTTTTTCTCCCAATTTCCTTTCCTAATATTAATATTCATTCTCCAGATAATTTGGTTCATGCAGGCACTGTAAGAATGAAAGAGTGTATGAAACACTGCATTAAAAATAGGTACTCTCTTAACAGATGGTACAGAACTGGGAGTTGAAGGGAGAAATCTATTGTTAGGCAACATTTCAAATAACAAAAATCGTTCATAAGGGCTTGGGAAGAAAATTTTGTTTTGGTACAAAATCAGCAAATTACCTGGATGTCTTACACTATCTGACAATCTAAGAATGTCAAATTATCCACTGAAAATCTGGCTACGTAATCTGCTACTCCCAAGTGTACATTATTTGTTCAACAGATTTTCTGATCTCAAGTCTCTGAGAGGAAATTTAAAAAATGTTTTCCTCTAAAGAAAAATTGGCTTTTTTAAACAAAGGAGACTCTAGAAAGAATCCATAGGATGAAATACCACATTTCTCTGGAAATATTCAAGTTTCTCTTGGAAATAAATATAGATTCCTCTAACAAATGGTGTCTTCCATTTACATTGATTAATCATGAAAACTTCAATAAGTTACCACCAACTCTAGTATAATGTAACCATATTCCTTGCATCTAAAACCTTGAAAAGGTCTGTAGAATCTTTGTTGTATATAGAGAAAAATATGGGCCAAATTTGTTTATTCACAGCAGATTGAGCAACAAGTGATAAATATGGGAGGTTCCATTTTTTGTGGCCAGCTTTCATATTTGGACAGAATCAGTCCTTCCTGTTCTCAAGAGAATTGACTTAAGTTAAAGCCAACAGCACCCTCAATTTCTATTTTTCTGGCCATAAAATAATTATCACTAGTCATTGGTAAGATTCCAAATCATCTTCTGGACCACTTCCACTTTATTTTGGACAATAAGTTGAAAGGAAGCATATTAGAAGGAGTACAAGCTTTGGCATGAGACTGAAGTTTAATTTCTGGCTCATTCATTACTAGTTTTTATATGTTGATCAAACTATTTAACCTTTCTGAGTTTAATTTTCCTCATCTAAAATACAGATGACCTTACTTACCTACAAAATATTGTTTTGACAAATGACTTTTAAGGATGCAGTGAGCCTATTACAGTTACTGGCACCATATAATATGTCCAATAAATTGTTACTTCAAAATAAAAGGCATGCTACAAATTGGATGAATTTTGTAAGTGTAACAGAAAATGAAAAATCTGTCACAAATTCTACATGTTGTAGAATTTCATTCATGTGAAATACCCCAAATAGGCAACTCATACAGATAGAAAGTCAATTAGCAGTTTCTAGGGGTGAGGCAGGGTCAAATAAGGTAATGACTGTTAACGCACACGGGTCTTTTAAAATGGGGTTGATTGAAATCTTATTTTTTTCACTGTGCATTTATACCATTCACATTTACAGTGATTATTCAAGTGTGTAGGCTTAATGTGTGATTTTGGGACTTGTTTCGTTTGTCCTTTGCTTTCTTTTACACAGATTCTTTGGGATACTTGAATACTTAGTAGAGGACGAAGGTTAGGGCAGCTCAGCTTGCCTACATTAGCTTCTTGGTGGTAAGTGTGTCTGTCCTAGTATTTCTGCTGCTAATGCAGCCACCACTGCTATCCTTTGCTGCCTGAGAATCCAGCTTCCTCAGCCTTTCAATGTTGTCTGAAGTTCAACAGCTTCCCAGGAATCCTCCATGCCTTCACCACTGCTTCGGAAGTGCAGAGGCATCCATCTTCATGAACTGAGCAGCTAATGGTTTCTCAACATATCCAGCATGCAGGCCACTGTTGGTCTACCCAGCCCTTACCATGTAAGAGAATCTAATAAATTCTCTTTTGGAAGTTTATGTACTTTTATTAGATTACAAAGAGTTAGATTTCATAGCACATTTCTTTTTGGATTTGATATTTCTTTTCCTCCTTCTTCCCCATTCACACACCTTCCTTTCGGCCATCCCACAATAGCTGCTTTCCAATTTCATGTTACCTGTGTACTTTTCATCATCTCATTCTAAATTTTTATAATATATATTCATTATATTTTTTTCTATTACTCTAGAGAACCATGACTAATACTGTAAAGAATTTGCTTTTACTCTCTGGCTTCTTTCAGATTTTTTTGTGTTTTATTTTTCAGAATTATTATTATCTTAAAATCTTCATTTGAATATCTTTGGATTTACTTTGTTTAGGGTTCACACAATCCTATTTTCCTAATAATTATGTATTGATATTTGCTTTTAAATTTTGAGTTCTCAGAATAGCCAAGACCTATAAAACAATAACAAATGGTTGTGAGGATGTGGAGAAAGGGGGACACTTACTCACTGCTAGTGGGAGTGCAAACTGGTACAACCATTGTAGAAATCACTGTGGCAATTCTGCATAAAGCTAGAAGTTGATCTACCATATCACATAATCATATCACTCTTGGGCATATACTCAAAAGACTCTATACCCTACTACAGAAATAACCGTTCATTCATGTTCATCATTGCCCTTTTCATAATAGCGAGAAATTAGAAAAAAAACAAAACAAAACTAGATGTCCATCAACTGATGAAGTGAAGGCGCAGTACCTATTTATATACTATGGAATATTATTCAACTCCTGAAAATGAAATTAAGAAACTCACTTGTAAATAGATAGAACTGGAAACAATCATTCTGAGTAAGGTCACTGAGATACAGAAAGACAACATTCTCTCTTGTAGCCAGATATATTAGCTTTAAATCTTAGATGTGCATATTTCAACTTGAAGATCCAAAAAGGTCATGAAACAAAGAAATAAGCACAGTTAATCAGAGGACACTTCCTGGGAGGGGTGTTAGAATGCTGTGAAATGAAAGGAGAAAGGGGAACTTAAGAGTACTAAGTATTAAATGGGGTGAGAAAT